GACTGAATAAATAAGAAAGGAAGCATTAAAAGCTAATTTCATTCTTGGAACATACACTACAATAATGGGCCATGATAATAGGTTACCATAAAACAATTACTGAATACCATAGCACATTTGGAGCTAGTCATATCTGAAATATATAAGGTATTCCACTCATTAAGTGAGAAAAAAGAATATGAAATGCCTCATTTAAGTAGAGAGATTAGCTGGGTGAAAATACCAATAACACCAAAAATATGGTAATAATTTTGTATGCCATAGGGATACTATAATAACTGTAGGGTTTAATCTTACCAATAGCTTGCAATATCCTCTTGAGCATATAATATATATTTAACCTTAACTTTACTCTCCATAGAAAAGAGAAAATTCTGCCCTAATTTAAAAATATAAATGGACATGTTTCTGGTCTTTTTCATTTCCTATTGAAAATAAACTGAACTGAAATCCAAAAGTAATCATCAAATAAATATTGATTTATCACCCACCACTCCCAAGAAAGCATTGTTTATTCCTCTAAATGAGCTTATTCTTATTTGCCACATACAGATGTGAAATAAATTATATAAGCCTTTGTGAAAACTTAACAATGAAGAGCAAAGTTAACATTGAAAGAGAAATGACACTTAAGTTTCTATGCATACACAGAAACGCAGAGAAACTCTTTTATCATAGCAACCCCTGTGTGGCTCTTCTGCTTATTTGGGATACAAACTGCATGTGTCTACTTGAGTTAATAGCTTCAAGGAGCTAGAATCCTTTGATGGTGTTTTATGCTAAATAAATGGCCAAAACAGAAAGAGGTGTGTTTGTAAAAGACCTGGTGATTATAAAGCATTTAAAATACTATCTGACAAAATGCTATCATCTTACACCATGTAATGCTGAGAACTTAGATGGTGCTCAGTTTTTACAAAGGACCATGGTTAGTGGCATGAAAACTTGAGGGAGAAAGAGGAAAAAAAGAGAAGATAAAAGAAACATCTTTGTCTTCTTTTAATGAAATGGTCAAAGTGATGATTAAGTGGAATAAATTAAAGGGTGTTGTTCTATCAACAATATAATAAAAGTCTTAATGAATATAGCATGTTTTACAAGAAAAATTCAAAATGCTGAGCAAGGGAATTACTAATCTCATCACAATCAGTACTGTGCATTATACCGAGAGAAAATTTTACAGATGGGAAATTTAAAAGAGCAGGAAAAAAACTCTTCCAAGGACAAAACATTCTTATATAACATAGCTAAAAACTGAGAACATGAGTACTGACTACAGTATAAAGAGTTTTCTGATAACACTTAAGACTATTAAAGTACGTTTTTATTAATTTTCTTCTTTTTAATAAGTCAGTGGTAGACATACATATCTCATCCAAATGTCTATCACGAAAGATAAGCTAATTTGAATTTTCTAGGAAGTCAGAAAAAGTTTGGATTTCCATAGGCCTTAAAATAGCATAAAAGTATTAGTATTATCTATTTCCTTCCATTTCCCTTTTACAACCATGGTGCGAGTCAACTTCTTTGTTGAGGAGTAACTTTAGGTTGTACATGTGAGGTTTGGTCACACAAATATATTAGCACCAACCACACGTATATCTCATTCTAGGAGTTGTATGGCCAGCTTGAATAGAGGTAGACTTGCAATAAGAATGGGTTACACTAGCACAGTTTTCTGAGATCTACAACCATTTCTCACTTTTGGGGCCTCTTTTTGTGGGAGTGTGGGAGATTAACTTCTTTCCCCAGTCCTTTTTTTTTTTTTTTTTAATTCCCATTCTGGTCTGAAAGAGTGAGCACAGATGTTATTATGTATTTTTAAAAGTAGAAAAAAAAAAGATAGAAAATTAACAATTGAGTTCCATTGATTACTTTTCTAATACAATTTACATGAATTTTGTCTAGACTGAGATAATTAGATAAATACGATTGGAAAATAACTCTGCCTGCTCAAATTGACTTTTTACCTTAAGACATTAGAAACAAAGAGTTTCTAAGCTAGTAGAGATTTCAGAGAGTTGACCCTTTCAAAGTCCACCCTTTGATTTTACACATGAAAAAGCTGAAGCCCAACCTGGTTACAGGACTTGCTCAAGTGCCTGAACGTAGATGGTCCTGAGCCAAGTCTAGAAAAGTAATTTACTGCAAATAATACACTATTAAGTTGTAAATTGCTATTGGATTAAATACATCATCAAGAAAAAATACATATGTATTAGCTACCAAACAGTTTTCAGTTTTTAAATTAATAGACATTAATAGTCCCACATCAGTAGTCTGAGAGGACATTATTTGTGTCGGTGCTTTTCCCAAAGTCTGTTGAGATAAATTGAGATATCACAAACACCATATCCCAGGAAAATAAAAGGCTTTCTGTGTGCTCATGTCTTGCTGTACACACAGACGACTGGAGTGAAGAAACAGTTAACTGCAGCGTCCCACCTACTTGTAAATAATCAAGGAAAACCCTTTTTTTTTTTTTAGCAATACAAAATGTCACCACAGGCTGACGCTCTTTCTACAAGAATAATGAGAATCTTGCTACCTTAGACGTTGAGCACACACTTCATTGCCTTTATCTCAAAATTCAATTCTCGTGGTATATCTCTATCTCTCTCTCTATATCTTCCTCCTCCTCCCTTCAAAACAGGTGACATGACATGCCTACAATCTATCATTGGCTACGTCGCGACTACAGGCCAAGAGACCTGGGGGAGCAATTTCATAAACTCGAGCTCTCGGCCTCCAGTACTGGGCACCCGCGATTAAAACTGCTCCGGATATGAAGGACAGCAGGAGGAGCAGGCAGTGAGCCCAGGGATGAAGCCAGTCGTGGGGCCCGCCCCCCACCCGGCTCTGCTTTGCAGAGGGCGCTGCAGGAGGCGCACTTGCTGTCCAGGACTTGCTGCTGAGTGTAGACCAGGCGACTTTTGTACCATCAACCCTCCTTTCAAAACACGCTGACCCCGCACCGAGAATGACGCGCAACGCCAGCCCAGGAATGTAGGGAAACCGCGGGTCTGAGGGTCTGGGGCATCCGATCCGCAGATCAGCGGGAGGTGATGGCGCCGCCACCGGGCTCGCCAGTCGCCCCAAAGCGCGCGGCTCGGTCCCCGCTGGACCTGCCAGCCTGCCGCACCAACGAATCGCCTCGAAGGCGGTCTGAAAGCGGAACCTGTCCCTTTTTAGCAGTTAAGTGTGCGGAAAAACCTGTCCTCCGACGTGGCCCAACTGAAAATAAATTCCAGCGCGACCGCACAGAAACTGGGCGTGTGCGTGTGCTCGGGGGTGGAGATGCAGGTGAGATGACACTCTTACAGTCGCGAGAGGGTTAAACGGAAAGACAGCTGCGGGCGTGTGGATGTTTGCATGTTACAAACCCACATCACCCACGTTCTCCCTTCTCGACTCTCCCCTCGGCTCAGAGTGCCTTCCTCCCGCCGTCGGACGGTGGCATCGTGGAAAAAGTGGGATCCACGCGGTGCCAGAGCCAAGGGAGTCTCGCCTTCCCACTGCCCCCGTGCCCCTAGCCTGCTTCACCTGCTTTAAATCTGGCTGAACTGTGGTTTCACAGTCCCCGCCCCAGAACTTGTCACAGACGCCTTTTTCTCAGCCCCAGAAACACCAGGTGAGCTCATTACCTCACCCAGAAATGTAACTTTAATAAAGAGATCTGGAGCGGGCACCCTCCCCCCCACAGCCCTGGCAACGGCAGCCGCAGCTCGCCAACACTTGTGGTCTCTCCTTCAGTCTCTACACCCCCACCCCAATCCCACTCCCCGCCTGTCCAGGGAGAGATTCAGAGGCTCTCAAACCCCCTTGTGTGCCAACCACTGAAGGGATGTGCAGGAATTAAAGATGCGAAAGGGAAGTGAGGTTTTCTTGTTTCTCTTTGATAAAAGCTAAAGAAAAGGGTAAGAACAAACAGGCCAACAGAACAGGACGGAGGAGTTTAACTGGCAAGAAAGAGAAAGCAAAACTTCAAAGACAAAGAGGACATCCCCCAAATCCTCAATTCGGGCGAGGAAATGAACCCGCGGCTCTTCAAGTGACCGTGAGCGCGCAGAACGCGCAGCGGGGACCAACTCGTGCCAGCCGCCCGGGGGGCCTGAGGACACCGGGGCCCGGGGGACGTCCCCGAGGGCGCGGAAAGGGATTTCCCGCGAAGTGTTTTCGTGGTTGGGAATTTTGTCCCATTTTCTTCTAAGGCTCAGTACAGAACTGAGAACTGAGACTCTTATCACAGGTTCGGGGCATCCAAAAGCCCCTCACTAAGGTCTCACAAGGCCAGCTGCTAATTCCAGATCCGGCTGTGTTACTTGCCTGCGGTCACTCCTACACACCATCCACCCACCCAGACATCAAGGGGGGTGGGGTGGGCGCGAAAAAAACCCCACAATTTGAATATTCGTTTTGTTGAAAGGGTGGAGAGGTTACAGTCCTTCTTTTCTCCTCTGCCCCGCCTATCTCCTTCTCATCTCACACCGAGGGGGACGTTATTAGGGGCTTCATCGCGGAAAAGAGCGGGCGATTATTTCATCTGCGAGCTAGGCGAAAGGAAAACTGCTTGGGGCTCAGTGACGTGGACTTTGATACCCAGAAACAGGCGGGACCGTCAGAGGACGCGAGTCCGCTGCCTCCCCGGGATCCGCAGGGACGAGGGAGGAGAGTCAGACCCATCCTGCCCGCGGGCCCCTGCAGCCCGAGCCCCGCAGCACCCAAAGTTCCCGGACGCGCACCCAGCGTCGCCGCTCGCTGCCCCAGCTGGAGCCCACCGGGCAAGCCCAACCGCGCGGCACAGGTGCCTGAGCCCGGGGCCGGTCGGTGCCCGCCCG